CTCCACCTAAAATATTGTGTGCAGGTTTGGTCATTGTACCTTTAAAAGGTTCATTGCTGTCTTAGAAAGGGTTCAATGTAGGGCTACAAGAATGATTCCTGGTCTTAGAATGTACAAGAACTCGTGGCCATTGGTGGAAATTAGCGGGAGAACATTTTAAACTGGATTAGAGAAAGCACTTCTTTACACTGCCTGTAGCTAGAATAAGGAACAGTCTTCCTGTTAGAGTAGTGCAAGCTAAAACCTTGGGTTCCTTTAAATCAGAGCTAGATTTTAACAACTTTAAGCTATTAGTTGAGCTTCATGGGTCGAATAGCTTCGTCTCCTTTGTAAATTTCTTGTGTTCTTAAACTGAATTACGCCAGTAAAGTACCCTGCTCTACGAATGGATAAAGACACAAGGCTCACCACACCACGTAGCTTATTTATTTGCTTATTTTACTTTATTATTAGATTTACATACTAATATGCATTGAGTTGAGCCAGGAATAAAGACATCAGCTGCTCACGTATCATTAGCTCATATACGACTATACTGTATATGTATCGATGGGCGGTCTTTGAAGTCTTTCAGAAGTCTGGGTCTCTGGTCGTCGACATACACTTCCGTTTTTCGCAAAACTTAAGGCTCCCCACAAAACATTGCAGATGTGCAAAAAAATTGTGCGTCCTTCCTGTCTGACATAAATTCCTATTGTGTATTACTGCTGCACGTTTATCTGTTTCAACTAAATCCGACTTCAGCCAGTTCATCTATTCTCTCTTCTTTTGTGAAAAAAATACTGTTTATGCAATACGTATGGGGAATAGTTTGTAATAAAATTCTACAGACACGCAGACCAGTAAGAACAGAGTTTAACCTGATCTGAGACCTTTTACATTGATGGAGCAAAATAGCGAATTAGACGGAATAACTTAGCGATGTAACAGTCATTGCAAACAAATGTGAAATTTCTAACAGAAATATAGCATAACGTTCTATACGTGGCAGAGAGAGATGCAGCATAATGGGACTTATATAGCCTCTTTGTTTAGCAGACAATGAAAGTGGAGCCTCGCCGTGTAAATCTGGACTACGTCTCCCTCTACTGGTCAAATCGAGCAACAAGCAAACAAATGAAAAGACACGCGTTTACGGTCCCGTTTAATACATTGCGTGTTAAGTCGATAAGATGGGGAGAAATAAGCCACCTGCTCTTGTTTTACTGTTTACTTCTGAAACACCTTAATTTGTATTCTTTAGTGTTTCTTATCAATATGTCAGTCAAGACATGTTGGGTGGTGTGGCGTCACAGATCTTTCGAGATCTTCCAACTTCAGGAACATTTTTTTATTTGTGTGTGCTAATTTAAATACAGTACCAGTATAGGTCCAAGGCAAATTGTTGATTGCAGTTAAAAAGTAAATACCACGATAGTTCGTTTAATATGTCGATTATCAAGTCTTCTGAGAATAAAATTATCCTTAAAAGAAGGAGTAAGAGCAGGAATTAAAGACCTCCTGTTCGTAAAGAATGCACATTTTCTCTTTGGTCTTTCAAAGCTATCATTTTAATTTTATTTATTTATTATGTGCAGGTGCAACATTTTATTCACTGAACAGACAGAGGCTCGATTAGTTTCCACTGTGGGCGAGATAGATTAGTAAGTAATTTTATGTTATAGTAAGTCTATTTTTATGTTACAGTGTGCATAGAGATCACCTATTACATTTCCATTCCTCTTAGCTATGAGTAATTCCATTTAATGAAAATATGAAGAAAAAAACATAATTCATGGGGTACCGTGTTCAACCTATTTGGGCGACGCTGCAATGAAATAAGTTGACAGAACATTGAAGTAAAGCACCACCGGACCCGAGACAGGCTCCGTTAAGTCTCATAAAATGTCCACATCATCTTTTTCCCCCTGATATCAAGTGAGCAACGTGAACATCCATCTTATTGACAAAGCCGAAAATGCAGCTCTTCTTCTTAGTTATTTGCATATTGTTTATTTTCTTCCTTTTATATCATTTTAGTAAATTTACAATTTGACCGTTTCGCTATTGTTTGATTTAACACTGAATCGTTGTCATTCATTCCTTCGCTTGAGATTTGCTGTACCTATGGAAAAAAATTCATAAAATGTGAAATGTGGTGTCACAGTTTGACCAAGACTGACTCAGTGGCTGTCATGAAACAAAAAGAAAAGCGCAAGACATACTTTAAAATAACTTGTTTTAATCCACTGTGCCTTGGTGGGCAGCATTATCCCTTTACACCTCCAGGGTTGTGGGTTTGATTCCTGCCATCTCTCTCTCTCTCTCGCTCTCTCTGTGGGTCTTCTTCCGGTGCTACAGATTCCTACACAGTCCAAAACCGTCTCTGGTTTGTCCTGTGGGTGTGTCCTGTGCTTGGCTAGCAGTCCTGGTTGTACCCTGCCTAATGCCCTTTTTGTCCTTCAGGCTTGTTGCAATCCTGTGTGGTTCCGGCAGAATGGATGGTGCTGCTGCTGTCAGACACTTTCACTTTGTCACTGGCTTCTTTAGACCTCCCAACAGCTGGTCAATCTGCCTGTTCTCAATCCGACATTCAGCTATACCTCCCCTCATTGCACAGTTTGGTGAATGTCAGTTGAAGTCCCTTAAATGCCTCTATCACTAATTCTGAAAAATCGAACTTGATGGAATCTTTTTAAAACTGTGACTATTAAGTGGTACACTAATAGTGAAACTGTGTAACAGGTCAAACAATAATACTATGAAATGCTTGAAATAACCACACTATGACGTCTCCAGAACACTGTTCATAAATGTAGGGCTGCTCTATTATGGCAAAAGTCACAATCATGATATTTTTGGTGAATATGACAAAATGGGAGCATTATTGAAAATAATAATCGTTTTATTTAGATTATTTTGTTTGATTATTGTGTTGTATTTATTTGTTAATTGCCCAGCCTTACATCAATATCATACAATATCAATATCTGCTTGGTCATTTGTACTTCTGACCAAGAGTCAGTCCACTATCTGTGGTCCCATTTCAGACATCTAGTGATTTCTCTGAAGATTTTTTTAAACTGAAGTTTACCCTGCCAAGGGTGTAAAGAAAATAATAATTCTGTCTTATATAAAGGGGACAGTTGAAGAGGTCATCATCATGGCAACTATAAACATCTAATCAAATACTACTTGAAGATTAAATTTAAGATTTACTTTATTGATCCTAGGGGGAAATCGCTGTGCAAACAGCAGCAAGTATGTAGACTACTGAGGAACATACATATAGTACAAAACAAACAACATGCAAAGACAGTACACGTACTGCAAACAAGAAAATATGGCTTTAAAGATAAAGATTGCTCTGTAAATTGCAGTTATGCATCTGAATGTTTCTTTCCCCATTGATCAGTGTTGAAAAACAGACAAAGCTGTGTTACTTAGGCATTTGGAGATGTTGAGGTTAAACCAGTTGGACTCTTGCTTTTGGAGCAGTAACTCAGTCCATCACAGCAGTAACAAGTTATACTGTTTACTGTTCACCAGTTATATTGTATACTTTTCTTGCCAGTTCCCCAGGCCTAAACTGACATCTTGATGTTCTCAGAATCTGGAAATTTCTTCCGTATTCATATCTATACTGACAATGGCTCCTGTGCTGGATTTTAATCGCATGTTTTCTGCACCACTCTTGATGACATTTCTCTGCAGTTTGAGGACACTAACAAACGTGCCCAGCAGGAGCCGTTTCCCAGGGGGCCACGTGAGATGGAAACGCCGGAGCGTTTTAAGGAAACGAGGTACGGTGACAGAACAGAGGAAGTCTGCCTTGAGCAAAGAAGACGCCGCAGCCATTGGTGCCTTCATGCGAGGTGTCTGCAGTTTACAGTGCTGCCTTACTCAAGTGTGAATACTAGGACTGCATAATTCATGGTCTTACTCAAAGCCTGAGCATAGTAATGACATATGCTGGGGAACAGGAAAAGAGAGAGTAATTTCACATGACGTCTGAAGGCTTCCCGTACATACCAAAACAACATAGTGATGGTGGGGGGGGGGGGGTGCTTGTCTCATCCCCCTTCAAAGACACATTAATAATGCAGCTGAATTGCAAACTATTTTTCACCCTAGCGGACTCCAAGGAAATAGGGTGGGAAGTTACTAATACTTCACACATGGATATATACATTTCTGTCAAATTCTTTGGTGCCTTTCAACCGATTTCTACACTAATCCAACACCTCATGCTCCTACTGGACATTATTCAGGGCAGCAACACTTAGCTCACTGCTGAGGTGTATCTCTACAGAAATATGCCTACATCATAATGCAGCATTGTCTGCACACACCACGAACTGTGGCAGCAATGGCGATGCACAGCCTATGATAAAACTAGGGCTACCATGACTCCTGTCTCAGAGATGTGGTTGTGCTTTGTTTGGGGTGACACCAGAGAACTGGACATATGTTTGGGGGAGGGAGATGGTCTACACAATAAGCAAGCCTCATCACATCTTTCTGGAGCAAAGGGTCCCAGCTCAGGAACAACTCCTCTGTACATGGCCTTCAGTTGAGGTATAGGTCTTTGTTCCGGTTAACTTCAATATGCCTTATCCAGTGAACTTCAGTTTTTATCTTGCTATGAAGCCTTCAGTTACATTTGTATTTTTAACAATGGAGGGCAATAATTATTTGCATCTCTAAAATGCCATGCATATTAATTCTGAAAATATACGAATATCTGAAATCATTTTAGCACCAATTCTTAGTACAAAAGTTACATTATTCAGCTACAAACTAGATTATTGTGACTCGTCACGAAGCCTTCTTCGTTTTTTTTCGGAGCAATAGTGAGAACAGGTAACTAGTGTTTTTAATATTTGGCTTAAAGTAGGACGCATTAGTCAAAAAAATGCAGCGCACACAGAGCTCATTGTGCGCCGGCGTCTGAGACCCTCGCCGGAATCTCTCGCTTCTTGTGTGTGCGCCTTTTGTTCGTGGGCTCCCAGTTCGGGCGGCCGTCTGTCGATCAAAGCGCTTCGTGTCCGCCCACTTCACCCTTCCCTCTGCCGCAGCTGGGCGCTAGGCAGCCGCGCTCGCCCCGAATCAGTGTCGGAGCAGCCGAGAGTGAGGGAGCACTGTGCCTTTAATTGCCGCTACTCAGCCAGCTATTCGGTTACTAACCAAGAGCGTATGAGCACCACAGTTAAAGATTAAGGTACTGAAAGGTAGGTAAGAAAACACAGACGCCTTTATCTGGACTTCCTTAGTAGAGTAAAGGGGTATTTTTTTAAAGCTAAGCGCATTGATGAACTACTGGGTACGGATGAGTCAGTGGGCGCTATGCTAGGCTAGCTCCAGTGTTTCATGCGGAAGTATTCGAGTAGATCGCAAGACGGTGATAAAAGGAGTGAGCGGGATTCTTCGATATATACTGAAATAAAGACCTGCGCGTGTTTATCGGGCAACTGGGAAGCACTGATTTATTCAGCCATCTTTCGGTGGCGTGTGACGTTTAAAAGTAACTGGACGAGAAGGAGTTAGCAAACTCAAAATGGCTCCCCTCTCCTTGTTGTCGATTCCGCTCGGGTTTTTTTTTTCCCCCTGCGTTAGCGGAGGAGACAAAGCGCGAGGCGCACGATCTGACCGAGAGAGCGGGCTTCAGCTCGAGAATTAGAGGTGGATAAAAGCCTAATTTAAGCTAACGCGCTATTAAATGTCGTCGTTTGTATGTGGTTTGTATGTTTCTCCACTCAAAGGTTCTTAACCGGTAGGGGATTGCCAGCGGCGTCAGCTCGAAGGGGGAGGGTGAGCGGGAGCCTGGGTGGAGCTCGCCTCGGCGCCGGGGAGGGACGGAGGAGCACCGAATCGGCACGGTTCGGACGAGGCGCGTGGCACGCGTTTTAAAGTGGCGTCGCGCTAATGTGCTCGCGGGGGGCTGGCACGGCGCGAGGTGGGAAATTCAAAATGCCAGCTGGAGCGCCGGCGGACGGACGTCGTGCTCACCTGCGGCCGAGTGACGCGGCTCGTTCCAGGTGTAACGAGCTCTGCGTCCGATAGAGGGCGGCCACGGAGCCGCGTCCGGAGCTCGCCAGCCTCCCGCAGCACGTAACACCGTTATGTTTTACTGCAGATTCAGAGCTGCGCCAGTTTTCGAGGGCAATCAAATTGACTTGTCGGGGCTACTGACAAACCTGTACACATTTTTACAGATTTTGTGAGGGACGCATGCGTCCTTCAAACTGAGCACAAATCTGACTGGATTTGTCTGTAATTACAATGACAATGCAAAATATACGGCCATTCATATGCGCTTGGCCAATATTCAACCAGGAATTGCGTCGGTGAAATTTGTAAGAAATTAAATTTCTCATTTTGTTAATATAGTACACTAATTGCTGATGTACTGTAACTGCGTTGTATTAGATGCCTGTACTTGAAATGACTGCTGTTTCTTAATCCATTTTTGCTGCCAGGTTTTAACCTGTATGACCTACTTTATTCTTACGTTTTTGAATTTTGTCACGAGAATGGTCCCTTTCTAGGTTCGCTGTCGACATACCCTACTTTGGAGGCCGACTATACTTCGATGAGCAAAATTTTCCCTCGTGTTTTAAAATAAATAGTAATTCTCCTATTTCTTCTTGTTTTCAGAAGTTACATAACATAGAATGAGCAGACCGTAGTTTTAGCCTCATTTCTGTTGCAAGGAAGACCAAAATTCCACATAACCCGGATGAATGTTTGTTGTTTTCATATTGTGGAAAAATTTTGTTTTTTAACGTAAATTTTCTTTTTTCTAAATAAATGATTTTGACAGGTTTCTTTCTAAATGCAATACACAAAAGGCAAAATGTTTTATTTCTTTTGCCATTTTATTCCTGCAGTACTGATCAATAGGATTTAATACCCCTCCTGACCAGCCAGTCAGTCTCTGTGTCTGTAGTGCATTGATCTGCCCATCATTTTATAAGAAAACTGCTTGTATGTTTTAGATCAAATCAATTGACTGCCTTTTCTGTTGCAGAGGTATGGCAAAGGGACAGTTCTTGTATGTTTTCTATATTGGTGCAGGGTTGTCATGGAAAGCGTAGCAGATTTTTTTTTTTTCATTCTCTGGCTGCTTGTGACTAATGGTGCTTTTGATTTCAGTAAGGAACCCAGAAATTCCCTTTTTTCTTTTCTTTTCTTTTTATTGCAAATTACCGCAGTCAACTCTTTGCAGTACGCACCTTTACAGACCCCGTAATATAGGCCATGTTTACACTGTAGGCTGTAAACCTGACCACACCCACCCTGCAGATGTAGTATTCCAGCTTATATTGTGCTCTGTTGCTACAGAGATGTTGATCTCAGGTAGGACAAACTCCCTTGCTTTCAGTGATTGTGACGTGCTGTGTTACCTCCACAATACCTTGCCTGTCGGCTGCAGTTTCAGGTTGTTATTCCCAGGTCATTAAATAGACGTATGTATGTCTTTATGAAAAGATTCTACAAATCTAAGCTTTTAACATTAGGTTTCATCTTCTAATTTGCTTGTTTCTGCTTGCAACTAAAGTTTGATTGGTTTTGCAGAACACTGCCACGTTTAAGTCTTTTGAAAGACTGTGAAATGTGAAATGACGTACTCACTTGCATCCGACTTGGTCTGTTTTTAGGTGCTCAACTACCCTTCAATCTGAGATTGTTGTAGTTCTTCGGCGATTCATCCAGTGATTGCCAAGTAGTCATGCCCTCCAGATGCCACCCACTGCCCCGCCCCCTCCTTAGACACCCCAATGTCATTTCCGCAGGCGCTGAGTTCCTATTGGTCGTGTTGTGCGTCATTTCCACAGGCACAAAGTACCAGTTGGTTGTAATGTGCGTTGACGTTCTGGTTATTGTCATGTGTTCTCTCTGCCCCCCCGCTGCATGTTTGCTACTTTTAGGCTGCAGCTGCCCTGGTTGGCTGGTCTCTTGACTGGAGGCAAGTGGCCAACACTCGGTTCAATACTAGATGTATGTACAGTACTGTTCACTGTCGCTGCAGTGTGTTTACCATTTTGATTTGAATGAATGTTAGTGAAGCATGGGCTTTTTAAATGCTTGTGTCTAACTTAACGAGCACTGTTAGTTTGTACATTTGGGATTTAAAGATGGGGCCAATCAACTCAGTCATCAAAAGAAATCTGTCACATTAGATTTTCTAGTATTATGATTTTGTGCACTCATCAATTTCAAACATGCTCTCTGGCTCATTTTATTTTAAACTTATAATACACAATTGTAACCTACAATTAGAGATCAAATCATTTAACAAATATTATATATTAATAAAGTAGGGTTTTGCCAAATTGTGAATGATTATTCTAATTCATTTTGCAAGTTGATTTATTTTACTGAAAGGTGAAATATTTATGCTGAAAATGCATGCTTACAGTATACTTTGGGCACTTTGTAGTTCATACGGCCTCATGCTAAATGAACTATTTAAAGTAATCTTCAGAAAGCAAATGTCAGTTTATCTGGCAAAGTCAAAAGACCTGTTTGTTTTTATAACTTTGGTCCTCGCCTGTGACCGTTGCTGGTCTTTAGCTCTCCCAATATTAATTGTTACTTGACAGTTATGCATGAGTGTAACGAACTTTAACACAGATTTGGGGGGGGGGGTTAAAAAGAGTGATATAAGTGTGTGAGAAAGACTTAACAGACGCATTGTGGCTAGTAACATGCTGTACTTTCCAGCAGACCGGGGGCTCTTTAGAGCTTGCTTATTCCGCCCACCAGCAACCTTACTCCTGACTGGCCTAAAATGGGCAGAAAACAAAAGCGGTTTGTCTCTAGTACAAATGCACTGAAGCGCTGCGCTCAGGAGGGAACGGCTATGTTATTGCCTGTACTTCTCGACAGGAAAGGTATAGCACTGCTACTTTGAGAAAGTACATACATGTTTCGTTGTTTTCTACTTCCAGTACTTTTTTTCTTTTGTAATTTTGCATTCAAATATAGGCATGTAGTGTTTAGTTTTTTTTTTTTCTCCTGTAGCTCTCCTTTGAAAAATAAATCGTTACATAAGTAGTGCATATTTTGTAGTAAAGTTTATACTTTTGTTACTTAGGTAAATGGGAGGTGCAAATAGGTAGTGATATTGTTGTGTACTGTTTGTATTGAAGTTTAAGTGTGAATGTCGAATGAAATTGCGAGGAATGCGCACATACACTGATGCATCCTTTCCGCTTCCCCTCACAGTGCAGGCATGTTTCCCAAAGGCACAAAGCGCAAGTTTTGCGACGTGGCGGACGAGGCTGCAGGCGGGCAGGGGGCAGGTGTCAGGGCGGCGTCGTCCTACACGATGCAGCGGCAGTCGCTGTTGGACATGTCTCTGATCAAGCTGCAGTTGTGCCACATGCTGGTGGAGCCCAACCTCTGCCGCTCCGTGCTCATCGCTAACACCGTGCGTCAGATTCAAGAGGAGATGACACAGGACGGGACCTGGCAGGCGATGGCTGAGGCCTTCCACTCAGGCCAAGCCCCTTCTGATCGCCTAGAGGCCACAGAGGTCCTGTGCCGGCCGCCCACACGGAGCCAAGACGAGGAGCCCAAAAGCTTCTCTGTCATTGGCTATGAGGGCTGCCACTCTGAGGAGGTGGTGGTGGATGATGATGCCGCGTGTACCTACATGCCGGGTAGCCTGGCCGCAGGGCCCTGCTGGGATGAAGATGATCTGAAGGATGCTACGGATCATGACGAAGAAGACGAGGACGAAGAAAAGGGTGATGGCGAGGCAGGATTGGGAGGAGACGATGTCGGGCATTTGGGAGAAGACTCCAAGACCACCGAACAGGTCTTTGGTACATTTGAGATCAAGAATCCAGTCTCTATTCCGGACCCCGCGCTGGAGGAACTGTTCTCGGACGTTGACGCCTCGTACTACGACTTGGACACCATGCTCACTGGCATGCAAAGCGCCCCCAAGATGGGTCCTTATGACCTTCTGGAGAGCCTGTCTCATGGGTCTGCCTCCATCACCTCCAACTCCAGCTGTCGGCCTGATCTCAATGAACTGGACCACATCATGGAGATCATTGTGGGGTCATAAATGAGACACGAGGACTCAACCCACGATCCCCAATTTCTGCGTGCGTGTGTTTGTGTGCGTGTGTGTGAGAGAATGAGTGAGTGAGAGTGTGTGTGTGTGAGCATGTGTGCTTATATGGAAGGTGTTAAATCAGTCACTCTTTTGACAAGGTGTGATTGCTACTCAGAGTGAGATTTAACATGCTGACCATTGTAATTTGATTTGCATACTTTCTGTATGTTTCCTTTTATATGTGTGCTTTGTTTTGTTTAATTTATTTTGACATTTTAATTTTTAAATGATGTCATTACACTACATAAATTGTGAACAGAACAAGTTATAACAGAACTTCTAAAGCAACACATATTTTCCTAAAAAAAAAAGGAAGAAAATGTTCAAATATATACATATGTATATAACTATATATATATATTTTTACAGAACATACAGCTTGGGAAATATAACAGTACTTTTTATTATTATTTTAAATTTTGACCAGAGAGATATTTCAAGTAAATTAAGTATTCTATAACGTGGGCAGATGAACTCAATGTCTTCCTGTGGTTTGATCATCCTGGTGCTGATGGGATAGGTGAAATTTACTGCAAAATTTCTGAATGGGAACTAATGGGCACGTCAGTGGCTGTGTGCTGTGACAGAAATCACACTCGTATCAGTATGACAGGCTCCAGCTTGTTTTTACTATTAGAAGCCATAGTTTCTTATATTTGTATTGTTACAAATGAAGAATTATGGGTCCGACCCAGTTAAGTTATTACCTTTTTAATTTATTTTATTTTATTTATTGAATACAAGCATGTCTTGGGGGATGTGAGTTCAGTATAAGTCCAGGTGGAATTGGCTTTTCAGATAATTTGTGCTGTTTTTTTTTCTTTTTTTTTTTCTACAGACATACCTACCATTCCTTGAGTCCTCAGGAGAGGACAGGTTTTCCCATTTGCTATGCAGTTAGCGTAACAAAATATTGAGCAGTATTCATTTATATAAATCTAAAAGAAGGCTATTTTATTTATTTGTATATTCAATTTAACGTTTTTTTTTTTTCATTTCAAAATGACCGATTACAAAAATGGTATTTCTTATTTTTTAAAGTGGTCTAGGAAAATATTGTTACGATTTATTCCTCTTCACGGCTAACATTACTCAGGCAAAAGTATTGTGTAAAATTAGACAGTATTATGAAAGTTACCACCGTACGCTCCTTTCGAATTGATGTCAAAGCAGTATAGTTACGCTGCAAATGAATCCAGAATTTAAATCTATTTTGACATTTATTACCTGGACTAGGGTAGATTATATGCATTTTATATAAATACATTGTAGCATTTTTGTAAATATTTTTAATAAAAGGTACAAAATTTCCAATACCTGCTGTTGTGAGGTGCGTTTTTCCATTGCGACGAAGTTACCAATTTTCATTTAGTTTTTTTCCACTGCTATTTTACACGCGTAACCAAAGTGTATCGGACACTTCTGGCAGCTATGTGCGCGATTCACACAGCGTTTCTCGGGTTAGACCATGGATATATTTAATATTACTGCGACTTCGACATAAATCATAGAGCTGACAATAATTCCACTGCTAAGCAGGCGCCCGTTTATGCAGCTGGACAGTTAAATACGCCAACTTTGGGAACATGTATGCTTAAGGTAAGTGTAATCTGTAATTTCTAAAACTGCATGCAGGACCAAGATAAATATTTATCGGAACAATTCTTGAACTGCAAGAGAAGTTTCTTACACGTAGTTATATAACTGAATTTAACAAAATCGGACGTACTGGTCTAGGCAAACTAATAATCAGTAGACTCTAAATGACGAATATGACAGAAGTACAAGGGAACACCACACAACCGTGTTCTCTGGATCTACGTGCGCGAATGCTCGCGCTAGAGTGTTTAGAGGGTGGAGCGATTAGGCAACCAGTCATGCGCAGAACAGTCAGAAATTACCCATTACATATGGACGCCAGTCCGCATCCATAGCAACGGTAGAGTTCTTGTTTGTGAATGCGTATCAGCCAACTTTAAACAAAGACCGAAATACATTGTGCGTGAATCGAAAGTAATTCGGTTTAGGTAAAACTGTACAGAACCCAGCGTGAATGATGTTTGGGACATTTTTTCCAAAGTGCTCATGAAGGTGTACATACAGTAAACAGCAGACAGCGTTGACCCATCTCTCAGCCAATCATCAATTTCAGACCGCAGTTTAAATGGTCACGTTTTCTACTGGGCCTTTGAGACCAATGGGAAAAATCCTGAAGGAAACGAAATAAAAAGTGAGCACCAATGAGACCGGGTTACTAGGCGGGACATACAGCTTAATTGTCCAATCACAGGTTTACCATCTGACGGCCGTCAATCAGCCGAATGTCTTTCCCCAGATTCTGCAGTGTCGCCGTCGGAGTTGTTACTGAGTCGAGTTGTCTTGGTGTGAATGAGTTGTGCCGAAAATGTTTAACGCGGACTTTAGGCTAGTGTGTATTGTATCGATCTGAAAATTAAAAGTAATCTTCCGCGAGTTTTATAAGATACAAAACAAGATGTAGAATGAAAATGTAGAATAAAACGTTGTTGGTTTTTATTGTTTCAAAATAATTTTGTAATGTTTCGTTATTATGTAATACATGGAATAAAGCTATGGGGTAAAGAGTTTTTCCCTGAAAGGCATCGATGAAAAGAAAAAGGGGAATTCAAACCAGTATGTGCCGTCTTAATACCGACCCAAGCGGAAAGGAAGTTGATCAACCAAGAGATGTCCTTTCTTCGCCAAGGTAATTTAGTGTTTTTATTTCTGATGTTTATGGTTGCTTTGAAATGCACTATGTAATGTGTTGTCGCGGTATTCCCCTTTTAAAATTCATATACAAATCATAAATTGTGTCCGAAGTACCTCTCTGGACGTATCGTTTGCGTTTAGAGGAAACGGCGCCGTGTAACGAGCAAGACTGAAAAACCGCTTGTTTTGTTGTTTTCGTTGACTTGATTTCATAAAATGTGAATCATTCACTTTGGATTTTATGGTTTTCGATTTCCCGCGATGTTCGTAACTGGGGAAACGTCGGGTTGTTATTTTTTTTAGACGTTTCTATTTTGTAAGTGTTTTTTTTTTTTGCGATTGATCGATAAAGTACAGCTGATATATCGGAAAGCGCGTTAAAAATTGCAGTTTAAAAAGTCACCTCGCGACAAGTGCGTGAGCAACGACGCGGCCGGGAGAGTGTGGGGCTGCTCCCCTCCTCACCGCAACGTGTGACTGACAAACAGCCCGCAACCGGAGGGATAAACACACAGGGCACAGTCTGGTTGGGAGGGGGGCACTCGGCGTTCCTCCGTCCGGGGCGGTGTGCGTGGAAACCCCACGCTGTCCCACCATCGTTGCTGCCTCGTTTGCACAGCAGTTCAAAGTCCTGCACATGTTCACTGCCGATCTTTCCGTGCCAGGTCCTCCCTGCCTTAAAATAATAGCAATCGTCGGAATGGTTGATCTACCGGGGTGGCACTATGCTGCTTTAGGGTGTGACTGGTTTTCCTCGTTAGTATTAGTATCGTCGCGTTAAGTCATGTCGTATTAAATCCAAGCCTTGGAATTATGAAACGTAGGAAAAATAATCTGGCTTTGAGTAATTTGCTTACTTTAAAAACTAAGAAGAGTTTGTAGGAGTTCAAAAATTATATATTGCTCGAGTGGAACTATTTGTATAATAAGGAGAGAGTTTCTACCAAAACCAGCAAAGCAATGACACAACAGTTGTCTGTTCAATAGGACATTACTTGGTACAACAAGGCACCTTAGGACTGAGCAGGCAACCTTCATGCTGTTTTCCGTACTCATGAAACTTCCATGTCCTCCTTGATGAATGTCTCGCTCAGTGCATTGCAGGCTATATCTGCCTGGCCTTGCAGAAAGGCACTTTCACTCCTGGTTACACACACACTTGTAAGTACCTTGCGATGCATGTTCTGAAAGACAGACTTTAGTTTGGACAGAGCCCTGTGGTGCTCCCCGGTTGTTTCCAGTGGTGGAAAAGTACTGTATTTTCACACTTAAGTAGAAGTAGGCCTACACATCCATCCATCTATTTTCTGTAACCGCTTGTCCTGTTCAGAGTTGCAGGTTGTCCGGAGCCTTTCCCATGGGCTACAGGCACAAGGCAGGGAGCAACCCAGGATGGGGTGCCAACCCATTGCAGGGCTCACTCGCATACCATTAGGCCTACCAATACAACACCAAAATGTTACAAATTATTTTATATTATATTTAATAATGATAATGACGATGATGATGATGATGATGATGATAATATTTATATTTTTCTCAAGAATCCTGAGAGAATTGTGATCTTGATATTTTTGTGAAACAGTTGTGATTCATATTTTACCCAGAATCGTGCAGCCCTACACATACTTTGTATTTGGTAGTATTTTGTTTTATTTTTTTGGTTTTGTAATTCTGTGAGTAACGATGGTCATGCAGAATGTATCTCAGCAAGAAATCGTTATTCGGCGGAGTAGCGGAGTAGCAACAACTTAAAATTCTCAAGTACAGCACAAATTCTGAAAGAAAAAATAATTAGGTACAGTGACAAAGTATTTGTACTTAGTTACTTAGTACCTCTGGTTGTTTCTCACCACTAGGTTGGATATGGGACTAGGTTGGATATGGGACTAGGTTGGATATGGGACTAGGTTGGATATGGGACTAGGTTGGATATGGGACTAGGTTGCACTCCCCTGCAGTGCTAGTCTGTTGAAAAGTATTGGGACACTTTAAAGGTCTGCCGTTCAGGTTCTCTTCTGGATCCTTGCGCAGTAACTGTTCGTTGTGTATAGGCATAGCATACACAGGCGCAAGCTGTCTCACAGGACCCCGTCACACATGCTAGTACAGGCTTGGACTTTGACAACAGATAATAGGACTCCACCTGATTGCCTACCATTGAAGCCAGATTAAAATGGTCCCTTGTATCTGGCGGGTTACGATGGTCCGTGTTACGATAATTTCGATTTTACGATGAGTAAATCTTTTTCACTTTCAGTACATTATTCAATATATTGCAAGAGATATTCAACACTATTTTTATTTATATATAAAAAAGCTTTGTGTTAATGATTTTGCCCAACTGTAGGCTAATGTAAGTGTTCTAAGCATGTTTAAGGTAGGCTAGGCTATGATGTTTGTTTGGTTAGGTGTATAAAATGCATTTTCAGCTTATGATATTTTCACCTTACGATGGGTTTATCGGAACGTCATCCCATTGTAACCCAGGGACAGGCTGCACTTGCATGTGTCCCTACTCCTGTAAGATGAGTCTTTCAATTGAATAGATACTACATTTAATCTGCCATTTGCCCCTTTGACTGACTTTAGTAAAAATGTCTTGTTATAACTTTTTCAGCATATGGACCTCAGCTGTAATGCCAAACCAGACATGGAAATTTGTTTACCTTGCAGATATAACTGTATAAAATTAAAAATAAATGTTGTGAGGCTCCAATATGCCATCCACATATGCTTTAATCTCTTTGTCAGAGGATGAAAAGGAAATAATTTTTTTTACGGCTGTTTTTCCCCCAAAAGCAGGACAAACTGTTAGCGGTTTAATTTGATGCATTAGTGTCTGATAGGTGGATTGGCATCATGTGATGCAGAGCGGGCAATGGCAGTGCTCCTATGTATTTCCTGTAGTTGGGGTCCGTTCACTGGGAAAATGGGGATAGCTGAGGAGCCCTCTAGTGATGTCATCGGGAGGCTTTGGCAGTCTGCTCGACATAGGAAGAGTGTCCGCTGCCCTGCTTCCTGGAGTGAGGCGAGGGGGCGGGCTGCGTGGGGGTGGATGGCTGGAATGGTGGCTGAGTAGGAGAGAGAAGTCGGCAACAAATCGGGGGTGGGGGGGGGCTCAGGAAGAAAGGAAAGAATGTGAAACCCAGGGAAATAAGAGAAGTGAAATCGGCAGGAGGCAGAGGCTGTGGATTGGGAGGGGGCAAAGGCACCCCTCTGTGGCTGATATGTCAGGCATCAGACCCCAACTGACTGTGTGGGATGGGACCATTCTCTTTTCAGCTTAGGGACAGAGAGGAGTAGCTTTTCCGGCCTCGGATTGCGAGTTGTCCAGTAAGGTCGCTGTGTTTCCGAGGATGCTGTGTGCAGGGTTCACTAAATGCCTTCCAGTCATACTATTTTCTTTTTTTGTTTAAAAAAAAATAAATAAAAAATCACGTATTATTTCACCTAAACTCTTAAAAAGGTCAATACAGGAAATAGTGCAGAAAATGCTGGAAGTATTATACTATGGTGAGCAAGAACATGGAGGCTGCGTAGCTGGAGAGGAATCGGTGAATCTTTTGGAGGGGCTGTGATACGTCCTGCCTGTAAAACCGGCATGAAGATATGTGTGATTAAACCGCCTAGGTGACATGGAGGACAGGAGGGGGACGGTGACCGGGTCTGAGAACCCAGAGGTACATGAACTGGTTATGAACTGGCGCTGTACATTCATCTCTGAAAAAGCCTCATTATCTGTACCATAGGGTGCTGGAGCCCTTTTTTAACACCTGAAGAGGTTCTCCGAAATTAAACGATAAATCTCAGAGTCAATGACTCTCAATGAACCACTTGCTCTGTGCAGATAGGTGTGTGTGCCCTGCACCTGGAGGACTGTGTGCGCTGTATCAGGTGATTCTGTTCAGTTGCACAGAATCGCTGGGGCTGTGGTTCCGGCTGTGGTTCCGGCCGTGGTTCCGGCTTCTTCGTCCAAGTCGTCTTGGGCTAGGCTGAGAAAAGGCATGTGGTCCAGGGCTCTCTGGGTCTGATGGGGTGGCTGACTTGTTGCACAGCCGTGACTCAGTTGTTTTGGGCCCTGAGCTTACACACATGCACACGCACACAGTCTTGCGTGTGGCTCTTGTGAGCTCCAGGCCACCGGATGATGACAGCGCGATCCTTATAAAGGCATCCGGCCAGCCTGGCTGCTCGCTCAGCGACTCGGTTTGACAGAGGCTCCTCCCACTTCTCTACTTGACTCCACCCCCTCCCCATTCTTTCTCTCTCGCACACCCAGAGACTCTGCCCCTCAGGGCCCATTTCCGTCCTGCTCTGCCGCCACTGGGCCTCAAGGGGCGAGGCAGGTGGGGGCGGGGAGGGGAGGAGTTTGGGACAACTGGTTCTTAAGCAGGGCATGTGATCCTGTTGTTGGTCCCTTCACCGCAGAAGCGAAATAGAAAGCGAGAGACACACTGGATGTTTGTAAAACTGCCGTTTTATTTTCTGACCAAAGAAATCAATATGAGGCTTAAAAAAAGAACTGTTAGTAAATGGAAATAAAGTGGTTTTGAGAGTGGAGCAAATGACTGCGCTTTAAAAAAACGTGCCCTGTTTGTGAGTGAGAGGTATAACTTTTGTGAATTTGTAGCTTCATATTTGCTTTTTGGAGTTTAGCTCTAAGATAACAGTACATAATAAAAATGGAACTAGGCGCTTTCCCAGTGATTCCAAAGGAGCCAATGATCAATCTGAATGTTGAAGAAAAGGGAATGTCGTGTGACCCCCCCCCCCCCCCCCAGAGCAGAGGGCACAGTGGGATCTGGAGAGGGTGGTCACAAGCCTGGGAAGCACCACCAAGACCGCGATAAGGCAGGAATGCGGGGAAGGTGTGAACACTGACACGGCGGCTCATGCTTCTGTCCTCTACGCCTCGTTGACCCCGCGACTCTGAGTTTCTTTTCAGTGAAATGGTCACTGTGAGGCTTCACGTGGGGAACTGAGATTATACAAAATATTTACTTAACGGATGTTCTTATTGGAGTGTGTTTGTAATTCTGAAAAAATGCACAGTGATGCCTCTAGCATTTGTTGAATTCTTGCAGAATTTTTGCAGTGGGTTTATTAGTGGGCATTATCTGTTTGTATATCTGCACACATTCAGTGGTTGTGAAAAAACACTTGAGGACAACTGTAATGTACCCTGAGGATTGAGCTCTGCAGTTTAATTGTTGCTAGTCCGTTATCTCGACCACTGCGCCACCTGCAGGCCTTCAAATAGGTTGCACGTGAAGACGTTCGCACCTGTACCAGACGTCCTGATGCATCTCCCACCACCACCACCACCACTACTCTGTCTCAGTTGCCATGGTAAACTGGATTACAGAAAAGGTGGTGGGAGGGTGGAGAGGGGGGGGCAGGCCGAGTCAGGGGCACTGTCACGCAGGCTGGCTGCGGCTTGTTGGAGATGCCGTACCGTGTATATTCTGGGCGGTATCGTAGGTTGCTGCCGGTCGCGTCGGTGTGATGGAGGCTGTGGCCATCGTGAGCCGGGCTGCTTATCTCGCATACCACGGGGACTAGTACTATCCCACCCGTTCTGCCTTATCTGCGCGGAGACCGCTTTCCCGTAAAACCTCATGCATTTTGATTTGATTTAGAAGAAATTGTTGCCGCCGAGATGCAAAAGTGCGCTCAAAAGGGAGGGAAAATCCCACCTCCCTCTATAAACTAGGTGATGCATTCTCGGGGTTGTTTTAGGATTGGATTAAAAATTAGCAAGAGACTAATTTTGTAGCGTTTGACTGAGTTTCAACACTGCTGTTCCATTTATAGAGCGCTGTTGCTATCGGAGACTGGAGGCTGCCGACTGAGCGGCGCTGCTTCCCTGATGAGGAGCATGGCAGCCGCGGCCATGTGTCTCACCGAGAGCCGCGCTAACCGCAGAAATCTCACTAGGAACTGCTTTATGAACTACTGACATGCGCCAAAACGCAACATTTTACTTTCAGGAAAATTTCGACATTCTGTTTAATACTTCCCCTTGATCACACTACATACACTCTGAAATTGTGCATTTGCCAAGATTTTTACGAGGTTACTGGTAAACGTGTTTACACGACTGCCTTCTGTCGCACTGAAACTCAGTAACTGCGCTATAACTAGTTGCGGCGTTAATTCGTGTTTTAAGCGTTGAAAATAGGTTAGATGTCCCCGTCCTTTGGTCGTCAGTCGCTCAGATTTCACCGAGCAGCATGGTTTCCGAATGAAAACCTCTGCAGTTGGTCTGGTTCTTATAGAGAAAAGGGACCTGATAAGCGTGGGCCACTAATAAATACAGGAAGCGGCGGATTAGACAACCAGGCGGGCTGGACTAACAGAGAGGGCTGTTAGTGCAAAGCGGCGGCACATTGGGCGCCCCGTGAGCACCGGAGGCCGAGAGCGGGAGGCGGGGGTGCGGGCGGCGTGTGGCTCCGGCCGGCCTGCGGGCTCCGCCTCGCTGTTCCCCCTGCAACCCCCCCCCCCTCTAAAACCAGCTCGGCTTACAAGGAAGCGTCAGCTGTCAGGGGTGGACTAGCGGGACAGACGAGGCATGCAGCTGCTGCGTCCGATCTCTTTAATTCTCGTAGTTTATGTCTCTTTAAAACGTGCGAACTGTGAGAGGTAGTCGTCTGTATGACAGTGAAGTACAGTGAGTCTCTGCCAGTGTAAAACCATGCGATGCAACTTTACGGTGAGGAGACCCAAGGAAGTGGCCACATCACATGCTGAAGGTGAGATCGGGGCTTTGGGCTGGTGCTTGAACTTATTCATACCAAATCCATAATGAACGTTGGATCGCCGTTGAAGTACTGCCGTTGCACTATTAAACCAACTTTTAGTCCGGCTGACGCAGCTGCAGAAGAATTTAAAAATGACATGGGCTTTGCCTGTCCGACCAGAAAATCAGTTTGTCAGCGACAGGATCGTGAGATGTATCTGTACCCGTAGTACTTCTAGGGGCGTTATTTTATTTGTGAAATTATTGAGAGACGTTTTAGTTTTGAAGCAGATCGCTTTATACTTTTGACAGGACAAATATAATTTAGCGAAAGCCGACTATTTTAATAGAACTATGCATTGTTCAGCTGATGCCTCGTATGTATTTGGGCAGAGAGGCTGCTTAAGCAGAATCGGTGGGTTAATGTGTTGGGGTTGCGCGTGAGTGGTGCCCCGTGAATGACGCTGAAAAGTGCATGTTTCAGCTGGTGCTCCCTGCAGCTCGCGGACTAACCAGGAAGTCCCGACTGACCTGTTCTACGTTACCAAGCTTATCCCGTCTCTCTCTGAAATAATTCCGGCTCTCAATACTTCTCTACATAAACAACCCCCTTGAGTAAGAACAACACTGTCCAACTGGCAAAAAATTATCCCTTTGCTGGAAGATGGTGACTTTTGGTGCTAAGACTGTATTTCGGTGGATGTGTCAGTGAGTGTGTATTTATAATAGAAGGCCCTAACTTGTGACAGTGTCTTAAAATGTGCCTGTGACGCATATTTGATACTTAAGGAATGCCTTTGGCCTGAATCCATTGCTCATTGGTGCGTGGTCTCTGTGGTGTGTTCCTGTATAGCATGAGTCATGTAACATTTGTTTTCTTGCACTCATCTCCTCTATAGTGTTAATTGCAAATAGTTGCAATAGTATGGTAAGCTTCTTCTAAAACTGGGTTGTCAATGACCTGGAGATGTTTGTTGTATTTAAATGTATTAAACGGCCCCAGCCTATGGCTCCCCTCCCCCCCCCTCCCATCTGAACCTGTGTACACATTCGAGGTCCCCTCTTTATTCCAGCCAATCGCTGCTCTGTGTAGGATGGGTATCTGCTGGGGTTCACTGGCCACTGCAGTCATAGCCCAGCCTGGGCTTTTTGGTGAGCTGTCTCTGCACAGGCCACATGACAACTGGAACGTGGGGAGGGGGGGGGTCTGCTGCACTTGCTGAAGCTCCAGTACGGCTCAGAGTGGGTCTGTAATTGTGCTCGTCATTATGGACTGTAGCCTTTTCGGAATACTGCGCCGTCTTCTATCCGTGCTGGCTGTCTTCTCCCTGGCCCCTAGTGTGCTCATGGCGCCTTAGGAGAGTGTCAGGCGTTACTCACAGGAAGGAAGGTTCTCTGTAAAACGGCACGATTTCAGCTCTTCTGCCAGGAGATGTAGACGCCAGCCTTAACACACATCACCAAGCAGATAAAATTTCCACCTTCATTATTGGTCGCTAAGCTTTGGGGGCAAGTTGGGGCTACAGTAACGCTTCAGACGATGTTGCATGTGCTGTGTAAATCTGGCTCGGTGGAGTGGGGGGGGGCATGGTTTTGGTGCCCATAATGACCAGGCATGGCTGCACTGTGGCATGAGTGCATAGCCCTGGATTTGGGTATGCTGTGGTTCATGTCAGCTGTGTCTGCACTGTGGTCTTCCAGGGAGGTGTCTGGGACTGTGGATGCCTGGAAGCAGAAAGTCCCACCGTGCCTCTTCCACAGCTCTGACCAAGCCCCATGCTTCCCCAGTGCCCCCCCCCCCCATGCTTTCACCCCCTCTTGCTTTCAGTCATCTCTGGTCTACACGCATGCCCTGTGCCCCTTTACATAACACTGAAATCCTCTCTGGGCATTTTTCTCTGAACACACTGTCTGCCGCTCATTGTCCCTCCCTTGCCACCCCCCCCTTCTCTTCTTATGATGTAGGGTGTTTTTTTTTTTTCCTCCTCCTGTTTTATTCCTTCCGTCTTTGTGTGGCCCGGAAAGCAGAAAGACATGGCAAAAGAACAGAGGAGAGCAGTGTTATTTAGACCGGAGTGTTCGGAAGAAGACAGTCACTCCTGGGGGTCCTGATTATTTTAATCCATATTTTTTTATATTTCCTCATTTGTAAATGAGAAATTACCAAGGAAATTACTTAAACGGGGTGAGGATAACTGTAATTTAGTGTGACGCCCTGCCAGAGAGAGAATCTCATTAAACGAGTCAGTGAATGGTAGAAAATTCAAAAATAAAAAGTGGGGAAACCATAGATGTGTCATTAATCTGTGAACAGAAATAATCTGAATGAGGTTATAGCTGTAACATATTTTAAGTTAAAGGGGGAATATTGTCTCATCCTAGATGCTGTGGAGTAACGTTTCATTGTCAGTTTGCCTTATTCTGAAGTAATCTTCTGTTGATCTTTGTTGTGAAGTATGTATTTTTATTTATAACATTAATTATGAAGTTAATAATAATAATAATAATAATAATAATAATAATTGACACTTTTATTAATCCCCGTGGGGACATTCTTTTTACGCCTCCCTCAACTTGCTCTTATTTTGTGGTCACTCCCATTCCAGCTGGTACATGGTTAAAAAAAAAGAGTGTTGATTTCATTTCATCAGTAGTATTGGAGATGTTTTTGTTAACGAACCACAGGATAAATCTTTGAAGCAGTCTCATGACAGTTCGATAGTCCCGACAGCGCCCTCAGTAGGGGCACCGTGTCTCATGCACTGTCAGACACACGTATGTTTCCATTGGATGCTGTGTGGAGTTTCTGTGCTGCAGTGTTCCGTGTCCCATGTGCTGTGGAATGACATTCCAACCAGGGATCTCTCTGTGTCCCGTGTGACCCCCAAGTGACGTGTTCCTTACGATGGATTTGTAATGCAAACTGAAGTGGATTGACGTTTTTCTCCACGAGCAATACACCAAGAGATAATGCAAACAGTCTCACCCATCCCTGTAACCGCTGGTCCTCATCAGGCTCCGGATCCCCAGCGACCCTATCTTGTAGGCTACGGGCGCAAGGCAGGGAACATCCTAGGATGGGCCACCAACCCATCGCAGCAAACCGTTTCAACAAAAGCAAAAGGTGCTTCATTGAATATTAAGCACTATAGCAGAGATTTCCACATATGGGCAAAAATGATATACCTCCTGCAGGTTCCAGTACCCATACAATGCCACGGAGATTAGATTGATGGAAACATTTGTGGCAACCTCTTGTGGCTGGAGGACCAAATTGCTGGAGCTGATATTTTAGCGTTTTTTTTTTTTTTTTTTTTTTCCCCTCCTTTTTCTCTCCATCCTCCCCTTTACCTCTTTGGGACAGCCCTGAGATGCATGGAGGTTGACAGACTGATGTCCAAATTCAGGGTCTTGACTTGCTGAAGCCCCTGACAAGCTACCGCTGGGCTGAGCAAAGCAATTTGGTACACAATTATGAACGGCAAAACTGCAGCATGACAGGAAGTCTAATCTGATTTAAAAATGCCGTACTCGTATAATCATCATTTATTTTCTAGGCCCTGTGTGAGGTCATCCCGTGGGCAAGCCAAAAGAAAAAATGTTATTTTCGTGAATAACACGAAGCACGGTCCTTTCTCCGTCTCTCCCCTCCAGGTACATGTTGGGTCGCGGAGTGAAGCGCAAGTTGAGCGATTGTGAGATGGTCGGGGGGGCGGGGCCTGGGGCGGAGCTCCCGTACCCACAGCAGCGGCAGCTGGTGCTGGACCTCTGCCTGGACAAGCTGCAGAGGTGCCGAGCGCGGGTGGAGCCCAGCCTGCATCGCTCTGTGCTGCTGGCCAACACGCTGCGCCAGATCCAGGAAGAGATGCGTCGGGAGGGCGGAACCCCACCAAGTGGCCCCACCCCGAGTCCCGCACACACGGCCACGCCCCTGCACACCCCCGACCTGCCTCCCATCCCCAAGGACTATTCCCTGTCACCGAGAGAGCTGGGGATCGCTGGGGACTGCTCCGCAGGTGAGCCACTGGCATGTCCTGGGTGTGAAGGGCAGAGTGTCGTCTCCTCTTCCTCTGAGGAAGGCTGCACCGAGGACTTGACGGTGGGTGCCAGGTCTGCAGACTCGCTCTTCGGCTCCTTTGAGATCACAAACTCCACCAGCTACCTGACGGACCTGGCCTTCGACGACATCTTTGAGGACATCGACACCTCCATGTATGACTCGTCCGACTTCTCCGCCCTTGCCTTGAGCCCGGCGCGCAGCAGTGGCGCCCCCTCTGGCGTGGAGGACAGCCTGAAGCCATTCCCCAGCTGCACCACGGCCAGTGCACTGCAGCTGTGTCTCACAGACCTTAACGACCTGGACCACATCATGGAGATCCTGGTGGGCTCATAACTGGCCTTCCCACCTTCTGTTCTTATTTTTTCCCCCCTCAGCTTTTTTGGATGGAAATGACAAAATACTTGTATAGAATGGTATATTTATATTTTTATACAGAATACTCTAAATCTATTTATCTAAAATGCCACAGACATGCCTGACGTACACCTACTGTAGATGAAATGGATATTGTGTTGGGAGAACCTGTTGTCCTGATGTGTCTACAAAATGAACTTGAACGTGCGAGGATCACACTGAGCGGAAATACACAGTATTACCGCTGAAGGCGGTTGGACTGAACTCTGAAGATATCCACAACGTCATAGCCACAGATGCAAGAGTTTCCCCCAAAAAAGAGAAACAATTATGTAACAGTTATAATTATGTATCTTTAGCCTTTTTTGAACTAAAGTATCTATTTTTGTAAAAAAAAAAAAAAAAAAAAAAACAATTTTGATATGCATTTCTACAGCGTTTAAAATGTATTTTCATGGGCTGAACATGATAGGCACACTCAACAGATGAGTCTCTACCTCTTCTATATCTGGGCCCGGGTCCCAGGAACCTGCTCTCTGCACCTCTGAGTTCCAGTGCATTCAGCACTGGCCCAGTCCTGTTCCCTGTTTATTTGTTAGTGCTGTGTGTGTGTGTGTGTGTGTGTGTGTGTGTGTGTGTGTGTGTGTGTCTGTCTCAGGCAGAATGTGCGCGCAGCTAGTACACATGCAGTGGTCAGCATGGCCTCTCTGCCGGGTAAGCTGTGGCCCCACACTCAGACAACTACTCCGTTTCTATAGCAACCCTCTTCTCCCATGAAACAACAAGAAACTGCCTTTATGCTGGATAGAAGACTGGTTTCAGAGATTACCCCGAGGGGGTCACATGCGGTCCGACTGGCACAGAGAGATGAATCATTTTGGCTGTTATTCTTTGTCATTTTTGTTGTCACCCCCCCCTCGTCCCCCCCCCCTTCTTCAGTGTCGCTGCTTTTAAGACATTTCTCCCTACGGCGCCCCCTCCTGCTCCTGGAAGGATACTTGAAGTCTGCTTCCACGTCGTGGAAACACTTTAGCTTCAGTCTGACGGGAGGAGCAGAGCTCAGCAGCTTCCCGCTTCTGTCACGAGCTTCCAGGCTGCGTATGTTTAGCTCTGGGTTCCGTCGGAATGTACAAACCGGCCATAATGTGCACGTTTCCCTGCAAAGTGCTTTTTTTTTTCTTTTTTTCCCTCTCCTCCTTTTCTCATAGTTGCCAACCCGCTCATAGAACTCCCGTGGCGTGCAGCAGTAACGGACCCCTATAACAATTCCCTCCGGCTGCCAGCATGTGAGTGCAGGGGGGGGGGTGGGAAGGGGAGCAGTACTGTGGCCCCCGTCACGTGGAACCGCTTGCTTTGGGGAGGGCTCTGGCTAACCCCTCCCACCCTACCGAGGGCCTGTTAGAACCGTTCTGACTCTTCCACCAGCCAGTCAGGTGAGGGGAGGGGGGGGGGTTTGAGGCCCAGATAACCCCCCCCCTCCACCCCACGCGGTGTCTTTGTTAGTCTGAAAAACAAATATAGCCTGGTGGAGTTTCAGCTCGCAGAAACATTCAGGCAGAAACTTTCATTTCTCGAATCCCTCCTTCCAAATGTCCCTTCCCTGTTGTCTGTTTTATTATAGAGTGTTTACTATTTTATCAGAGCACATCTCTGGATCTAGGTGTGGTTTGCCACATCCATGGCCTCATTGAACAAGAATTGCATTGACAGTCCCCCCCCCACAAGTATTTGTGGCATAGCAAAAAAAAATACTGGAGTTTAGGGGGTCCACGTGAGGCGTGGGCAGGGGAAGGCTTCCGTCTCCCAGATGGGGGCAGTGCTCTCAGCTGGGGTGGGGCAGGGCGGGGCATAACCTGTGCTGAATGAAATGCCCCCCCCCCCCCAAGTCTGCCCTTTGCTGACAACAGTGGGTTACTGCAGAAGGGTGTCAGAGGACAAAAATGTAAGCTTTATAAGCTTATTATGTACATAATTTTATTTATATTCTGTTTGATCCGAATAGTATTGTCATTGCAAAAAAAATAATATATTGTTTTTATTTAAACCCCTCCCCCATCAGTTAACCCCTGTTCCATTACGGCATTATGGCTCTTCTGTGATTATGGTATGTGAAACAGACATTTCTCCTGGAGAAGTGCCCCATTCTGTGTAATATTCGTCTCGGTCTGTTTTGTCTGAAACAAAAGATGACAACATGACCAGAAAACACTAACCAGTAGTGTTAGGACGTCTGTATTCTTAACATGTCAATGTGTCCATTTATTGCATTTTAGTAATGTCACTGTGTTTCAATGAGCCATATTAAATCGCGCCTGAAAATCAGCAGCTAAAGCTCTCTGCGCTGCACCACTGCTGATCGTCCTTTTCTTTTTGTGAGTGATTCTTATTTAAAAAGTTAGATCACCTGCCCCTTGCATTCGTATTTGAATTTCCAGTAGAGCATAAAAAAAAACCTTTTAGTCAAAGTAAATAACCGTACTTTGGCATTGCGAAGAGCAGTATTAACATGCAGACACTGTGTGTGCAAGCACAGTGTTCATAGCCTGAATCACCATTTTGGAGATGGTACCGGCTTGATGCCACAATCCATCAGAGAAGGCATGAATGCATAGCGATCTCCCTGAAAGAAGGTGTTTGTCTGTTTGGCTGAGCCTATGGCTATGTGCAATTATGCAGTGTGTCCGTACTGGGATTCGAGGGGGATCACCGGCTGTAAAGTCCCTTTTAAAGTGCAATACAAACCTGTTAAAATGCTGGATATGCCCAGCCTTACTAAGGAGTAGACATTATATTCTCTTGGCTAAGACTGCACCTACTGTAGCTTGGCAAATTTTACGCTGTATTTGATAGAAGTGATATTTTGTAAAAACCCTATGATTGACAGTGGACCTTTTAACTGCGTTGCATGAATTAAGATTTTATTTATTGATCATTTTCCCTTTCATTTCATGGTTTGGCAAGTTTTGCTTTGACCCCGGACTTTGTGTGTTGTGTACATAATCTAATGTACATAAAGTATTTACTTTTTCTCACACTTGTATTCTATGCAATACTATTGTAGCAGGCCAGAAGTCTAATTAAAAGAGGTGAAAGAAACTTGTGTTGTTTGTGTTCGCTTAACTGCCTCGGCTTTCCTGCCTTGCCGTATCACAATGCTGGAGCTTCTTCGTTTTAGCAAGATTATTCAGGTCCAGACTCAATAGTCAAATCCCAACATGCATCTTAAGTCTCCGGCGACCAGAATTCATTAATGTGGGTAATGCACAATGCGACAAAGGAACATGGAAGACAATAACAAAGACAATAAAAGCACATACAACCTTTCGAAAGAGGGGAATGACGGACGAAGCTTGACACCCTCTAGTGGTAGGCAGCAGCCAAAGCAAGTCCGTGTGTCCGAGGTTTTACGATGAGTTGCATCATCTGGTTGCAACCCCCCCCCCCCCAAACCCGAAAAAGTGGGAAGCGCTTTTCAAGGAGTGAACGGTCTTTTAAAAATCGGCCGGCCTATCAACCCCACAAATAAAGTATGTATGCATTTTGCTTAATAGCATATTTGTCACAGTTTAAATACTGTACCCATATTGACTAAGTTGGTCTGCCATCAGCGACCACCACACTTCTCCCACGAATATTTTGCAGAGAAAGTTTTTTTCTGTCTGAAATCTGAGAATGTTATGCTCACCTCGCCTCTTTAAAAAAAATAACTCCGTGTCAGTTCTGATGCAGACGCTTATAGTATTAGATTGCAGCAGCTTTACAGTCATTGTGGTTGGAAGGCAAAAAAAAAACTGTTCATAGTGACTGGACAAATTACGCCGGTCGTAGTCCTGGTAATGACTGCATCACTGCACAGCGCTTGTCCTGGTATTCCTAGTATCTCTAATCTCTTTAGACCAATGTTTCCCAAACCAGTCCTTGGGGACCCTCAGCGGGCCACGTTTTTGCTCTCTCCCAGTTCCCAGAGAGTTGGGAGGGCGCAAAACCGTGGACCGACTGGGGATCCCTGAGGACTGGTTTGAGAAGCACTGCTTTAGACAAACCGTCACTTGAACATTTGTCTCCTCTAGCATAAGATTTCACAGCGATTTTTACGGAGTGTTTACTGGCACGTTACAGGGGGCAAGCTTTAGGATTTCAGTGACCTTCCAGTTATTGAAATATACTGGGTCGTCGCGCAATTCAAGAAACTTCAAAGGGGCAAAGTTAATTTCAGCGGGAAGTTTGGGGTCAGTATGATTATAATTTGGTTCGTTGAGCGCAGGGTTCAATGAGTATAAGGTATAGGCTACGGCCAAAACAGCAGTCCATTAATAAATAGCCACGTGTTTAAATGACGTTTATTTTATTTATTACATTGCTAGGTGGCTACAAATATTGCAAGTTAGAGATGAAGAAACGCTTAAAAAGTTAAACACGTCCGTCCTCATCGACACAGGAGAAGGGGGGCACTGTGGGTGTCCTGGGCATGTTCGCCTTCGACACGCACAAAAAATACGCACGTCATGTACGGTATTTCTACTCTTCAAAGGGCGTAAATTCCGCTACTACTCCCTTTATTGCCCTTTAGATTACATAAAATCTCAAACACGGGGTAGCCCCGAAAACACAAGCGCGACCATGGTAGAGTCCAGCTGCCCTGGGCATTGTGGTTTTTGTAGTTCTTTCAGGATCCCCCGATGTCATTTTTTCACGTGGCGTTTCATCTGCCAACGAAGATCAGAACAAGCGAAGAAATTCAGAGGAAAAGTTCGGCCTGCAGGATACCGCGGGGTCGCCAGCTCTCACGCATCTGGCGTGACACTCACGCTTTTCAGATATCTTACATTACGCAAGATATCTTACGGCAAAAATATATTATTCCATTATAAACCTTAAATAAACTGTTACATACATGTAAATGCGTGTGCAGACTTGTATTGAATCGAAAATCTCACTCCAGCCAGCTGACCAAAGATAGGCAACCCTGGTACTGTTCGCTTGCCCTTTAATTTTTCTTTAAAATTCTGATGAAACTGACAGAGGGACGTACCGACGATATAATGCAAGCAGGTATCCGATGTTGGCAGTTTATTTTTTATTTAAAAAGGTGAATATTACGATTCGAGAACTGAATGAGTTCCAAATAGTTTTAGATGTGTTTAAAATAATAGAAACCATAACAGGTATGATTAATTGAAAGCTGTCATCTGCCTCTGGACGGAGAGGTACAACGTACAGTATTCAAAGGTGGTTCCCATAGCGGTAACTATTTACTACCCGATCGATTTTCCTTTACTCTGTTTGTGTGCAAAGGTTTCGCCAAGTCTGGAAAGCTGTGGAATGTGTAAGAAATCAATTTAGGCTAGTGACGACCGAATACACGGTAGAAATAAGTAATCAGCGTAACTCTACTCCATTATAAACCTTAAACTGTTACATACATGTAAATGCGTGGGCAGACTAGTATTGAATCGAAAATCTCACGCCAGCCAGCTGACCAAAGATAGGCCTATATAAGCTAGCATTTGAGGTTAGAGGAATAAGCATGAGATATCAAGCCTTAAGCCTGCAGGTTATACTGTTTGACTAATTGTGTCACGTCCATCCTTAAGGTTAATAGCCTTTTTCATATACAGTATGCCAAACCGAATTTAAAAACAAATAACTGATTGATCCCTGTGGGGATCGAGATTCTCTTTACGCCTCCCCCAACTTGGTCTCTGTAGGTGAGAGTAAGCTGGCTGTGAAGGGCAGCCACCCATAGCAGCACCCAGGGAGCTGGGGGTTAAGGGCCTTGCTCAAGGACCCACATGTGCTGAGGCTGACCTCAAACCAGCAACCTTCCGATCACAGGCATGGAGACTTAGTCCACTGAGCCACACACTGCCCTCTACTATATACAATCATGGATAGAAAATTTTAACCAGCTGATTTACACCCCAGTCCTTCAGGCTGTAGCGTAATGCATTCTACCAGATCCACAACTGAAGCTTAAGTTGGTGACTTTTTTTAAATATACATTTTCTAGGGGATTAAGACACTTTGTATTCTTTTAATGGTTGGCAGGGAATTTTCTTACCTCCTGTTCCACTTAGTCGCATAGAATTACACCGGTTTTCATATATTGTTTCTATGGGTAAAGACTTACATATTGAATAACTAAGGAATTTTCTTTGCTTGACCTCCACCTTCTTGGTGAGGACCTTAGCATATTACCTAGATGTCAGGGACTTTGTTATTAAGAAGCATAACAGTATGGAGTAAGCCTTAAGGTAACATGGAATCAATGAAGGCTATTTCTCAAATATACTTTATTTAGGCTTATATATGTGTAAGTAGCAAATAATAAATAACTCAGTGCAATGTTCAAAATTGTCACAGCCTGATTCCAGACTGACTTGTTTTACTATACATGGGCTGCATCATCACTGTGATTAAATTCTTTCGTAACACCAAATGCTTTTTTTGCATGCAGCTCCGCAGCCTAGCGCGTCAGCCTTCACGGGACTCAGATCCACGCAGGAGGGGGGAATCAAACTGGGGATACATTTGACCACGAGTCAAGAGGCGAAAGGACCCTGCACTCATGAAGGGCACCTTCAACACCTGGATGCACGTTCCAGACGTGCCATATCTGAATAAAAAGATGCATTTCTTCTGGCTTGGGGGCAGCGAGAGGAAGCGGTTAGCAGGACTGATTCTGTTCAGAGGGCTGGAAGCCTTTCACCGGAAAGACATTTTGCCTCTACTGCTCTGAATAGAAGCCAGTTTCTGGCTCTGGAAGTGCCAGGTATGAAATTATTCTTAGCATATAAAAAAATATATATACACATTTCAGTTATCACCAAGTGTACAAAAAAAGTTGTGCCTGTGAATTTTACAAGGCTTCTGGAATAGAGAAGTTGGTGCTGGAAACACAGAAGCTGGTTGCTATGGAGAGGAGCTCACAGGAAGAAGCCTTTCCGGGATTCCTGGCCCTGCAGGCGCAGGCTGTACTGGGAGAACCACTGGTGGGAGATCTGGTAGATGAAGCCTGGGCCATCCCGGCACTGGGGGGGTGGCAACAGCTGAAGGAGGGGGAGAAATAGTGAAGGGTGGGGAGGGGTGCATGCACACGTATACACTTGTGCACATGCACGCACACACACAGATATGACCCCACCCACCCCCACCTTGGTTTGGATCAACGTCAAGGTGCTGTTGGGGTCCAGTGACTCCATATCGCCCTCCTCGGGATCTAGTGCAGCAGGAGTCCCATCCTGTTTAAGAGACAGGTGTGGGGGGGGTTGGGGGGGGGGGGGGGACTTTACCATGAACCCTGACGATGACACCTTCTGCAGTGACCAATGACCTAGTCAAGATGCCACCTATCAGCCATCACAGACTGTACTGCTGACTCCAGCCCCCACCCCCTGGCCGCTCCAAGACGCCAAAAGGCTCTAAAGGCCTGTGTCTGTCATTCCCCACTGAATATTTCATGAGCTGCCCTGCAGCAAGAAGAAAGCCAGGGGAGAAAGAGAGAAGCGCGCACACACACACACACACACACACACACACACACACCACAGATCACAGAGAGAACATGCGGCCAGCCCTGCTCCCACGTCTGGTGACTCAGATGAAGTGCGGCCTGGCGCCGGCCCGGGGAAGCCATTAGGGCTGGCGCGAGCTCACGGGAAGCACAAGTAGCGCATTAATGCAGCCGACGGCCCTGCCGGAAGGAGGGGAGTCGGGTTTGCAGCAGCGCTGACACTGGCTACCCGACGTGGACGCGAAACGTAGCCAAATCCCAGAAGGGAACGACAGACAGAATGAAGATCGTTTCCTGTTATGCATACATAAAACCTAATGAGCGTTACGCAATGGAATATATTACTAGACAGGGTTAGGGTTCTGGTTCAGTGCTTCAGCAACGTATATAAGGTAGCAAGTCTGTGTCCAGAACCACTATAATACCCACTGTCACGACTAACTAATTTTCCAAGCCTTTATTAAGCATATGGAGGGAATTTGCCACAGGTTCCAGACCAGACTTTTGGCCTTGCATTGTGAGCATCATACACTGGAGATGGCTGATGATTTTGGAGATGGCTGATGATGGGAGGTAACTCCCATCAAGAATATCTTTCCCTGCATTAAAAGAGCCTTTTGATTCCATTACCCCAAATTTCTTCACACTAAACTGAAGCCTCTTGCCAGCAGATTAACGCGGCCATCAGATGTGCAACACGTTTAGCAAGAAATTCAGACTCAGTGCTGTGAGCTGTGATGTCCAAGTCCATTATGTCACTCCCCTGCCGCTGCAGATTTCAGGTAAGCAGCCTATGGCGCCATCTTGTGGAAATTTAAAAATCAACATTAACTGGGTCAAAATGCTCCCAAAAAAAAAAATCCAAAACAAACGCACTCAATTTTATTTATGTTTACTAAACCCTTGTTGGTTTTGGGTTTATACATTTTTTCAATGTTCATTCTTTTGTAACATACATACTTCTCAGGTTTAAGATGCAACAGCTCCGCTTTTTGGAAGCCCCCATCCCACTCACCTGTTGCAAAGCGACAGCTGGCATTGTTATGTTGAGTGCGGCCAGCAAGCTTCCTTGGGAGTGTGGATGGAGGCTGGGCGCCGACAACTTTGGACTTTGGGACTCCGTTAATAGACACTGCCACAAGGGGGCAGCACTGAGCACAAAGACAGAGAACGCTAAAATCCCACGTGAACATGAAAGAGGTGACCTTTGACAGTGTCAGTCACTAATGCACCTCTTGCCCCAGCATCTGAGCACATACCAGTTTAAAGCATGATCCAAAGATCACCACACTAATTAGTGATTAACAAAAGCATTAACAAGTGACTTCTCCCAAGGGACCCATGTTACACAAACCCATCTCCGAGTCACAAGTTCCAAATTGAAATTCTGGCCAGGTACCCTGTCACTGCCGAGCTGGAGGTGGGGACCTCTGTTGCACTTTCCATCAGGTGTGACAGTGGTCTTATGGATCCAGCGACAGCTTCCTCCAGAGTGGACTCCAAGGCAGGGAAGCAACATTCAAATGTTTTCTGGAGCTCGGACCAATTAATGGCCTGCAGTCATTTGATACAGACATTAGTTCAGCCTGCGAAGAGTTAGTAGCAGCACCAGGACAACATGCAGCTGATGTTTTGCCAGTGCAGAATCATATTAGAGCTTATTAAAACCAGACTTGAAACAATGGTATATGCTCTTAGAAAAAAGATAAAAACTTGTACCTTTGTCACTGGGGCTGTACCCCCAGGGGTCTGCTAATTGTACCCTTAGCTGAAGGTAATTGTAGCTTTTAAGGTACAGAAATTGACTCTAGGGAACATTTCTGTACAATTTATGGTACATTAATGCTGTTTGTACATCTGGGATGTTCCATTACAAGGGTATAGCACCAGTGACTAGCAGAGGTACACATTTTTTCCATTTTTTCTGCTAGTGTATAAATACAAATAATTATATATTAGTCTAACAGACACTAACAGCTTACGTTAACAACAAATTAGCATGTAGTCTCACTGAACTCCAACTGTAGTATAGATTCAAACCTTTCTTATTGACCAGGATGACTGTTGATTTGCACCATCATATTCCTCCACTTGCAAACATTCCGGGGGAGTTGATGCTGCCGATATAGACCAATAGTCACTGACATCCAGCTGGATGCCCTCCCCAAATGAATTCCACTCCCCAAAAGATAAGTCCGGTTTGCCATTGGCTTGCAGATGTGCACCCTCAAAGGACAGATCCTCAGTCTCCAAAGAACTGCTCTCGACTTGGCTGCCGTTTGGTTCCATGTAGCAATCCGGAGTTCCTGGATCAAGCATTGTGCTAAACTAAGAGTCCTCAGCCTTTGGCAGAGTGAATGGCGATACTACAGAACACCCTTCAGAAAGTCATAACTGTGGGTCAGTTTGTGAAAGTCGCTTCTGGCAAACACAAGCCCCACATCATCTCCCCTTCGTTCCGTTTCATTTCAGTTCTGACATCTGCCCTGGAGCCCCAGTCTTCCTGTCGCTTTATATAGAAACACCCGTTTCTTAGAGAACGGACAAAATGTCATTGTTCACGGGGCATTTGTTCCTGTGGCTAATACTTCCGTCTTTTGCATTGTTGTGACATTCTCTGGTATTCAGGACCTACAACTTTCGGATAAAGGGGATAAGCAACCTTTCAGCCCATGTCGTCATGACTGTGCAATCGGCTTAGTAATAAAACATTACACTTAACGCACACGGCCGAAATAACTCAACGAAGAGCCCATTCGAGCAACAGGATCACAATCGACTGGAAAATACACATAAAGTTTTCGATGAAACTTCAAGATCTTAAAAGAGATTTCACCCTACATTATCAGTAAATCAATATTACAAACGAAAACTAAACGACGGTAAGAATATATACAAGTGAAATAAGTGACATTTTAAATGAATTAAGCGAAATGAATGAGACACTCCTTTCTCTATTGTATGTCACAGCTACTGAATGCAGAAGATTATCACAACAAGTATAAACAATATGCATATGTATATAGCCTAAGTGAAAGCAGGGCATCCGGAAAAACGGCAAATGTGTTCACCTGTTGGTGAGAAGAAGCCGGCAATCTTGAGTTACTGAGTAAACTTCACATTTCTAACAAACAAAAACCACCCAACACCGGTGAGTATCAATGCCCTACCTTCACCATGACGCATCTTAGGATGTGGGAACGGAAAACGAGTCAATCCATCCCCCTGTCCACGCGGCGGCCGCCTGAATAACACGGACGTAAGGAAAAGCTTGTGGGCGGGACCGAGCTCGGAAGTGGGCGGGGCCGAATGCAGAAGTGGGCGGGGCCTGCTCAGGTGTGCTGCAGGTAGGATAGCGCGCTTCAGGGCAACTGAAACACGACACAGCTGACTGCTCCGGGTTTCCCATTACAAGTTCCATGATTTTATTTTATGGGTAATTTACTTTAGGTAGCACGCTAAGGCAAACGTCAGCTTATTAAACAGGTCAGCTTGCAAGCCGCCCCAAATCTTAGAAGAGATAATTACTCAATTTACCAAGCCGCTTTTCCACTGGAATTGTTTAGTCATATACGGCATATTCAGCGTGTCTGGTTCCATTTAACATCCCTTACGCGTGCTACGCATAGTTTATAAAGATATTTTCCTCTCTTCGACTGAAATTTTAACGTGTGGCTCCCGATTTGTTTCCATAGTTTTTGCTTCGCATTGTGGAAAACAGTTGTGTACGGTTTATGTGTATTTATTTTGAAATTCCGGCAGTTAATTTAATTGATATGCATTCAACGTTTTAAAAACGCCATCTTGCATCTCCCTATTATTACCAGTAGAGGGCGGTCTGTGGTGGTTACTCGAGCATGGAAATTTGCGAAATATATCTGAATCTGATGTTTTTGCAGCGAGGTAAGAACGTAACATGAAATACGCTAAATTACGTGTAACCTTGTGTATCTTGAGCCAACAAATTTGTTGCAAGTACACAAAGGGACTATTTGAAGGAAAGCGAGAAAATGTAAATGTTCACACGAATAAACCTGGTTTTTATGGCTTTGAGCAGAGCTGCAACTGCTTACCTTTCACGTAGGCCTACTGCTTAGAGAATTTATTTACTTGTAGTTGTCACGATTTATATTTTTAAATAAATAGCAGTGTGGTGAGAATGTGGCCCAGCTGATAAACCGCACCCTGCAAAGATCACTGCTATACTGCAGTCGTGACATGACAAAGATTTCAGGTTAGACAAAATTTTTCAGCACAAAGGACCAGGTGCATGTTGAAATGAAAAATCAATCGCAAGTACACGTTAAAGTAGTGTTTTTTTGTGTGGAATGAGGAAGGCCTTAGTACATATCATGCGTGGTGTCATTCAGTCGTTGCTGGCAAAGCTTTTCACACAATATGCATCGGTTGCTTTTGGTGCTGCGGAGGGAAAAGGCAAAAGAGCCACGGAAGCAACAAAAATGACAACAATAGTACTGGAGACCGCAAAGCACAGAGAGCAGCAAAATCAGCATAACAGCAAGGCTTTTTCATTAATAATACATGTATATTGAACACAGCCGGCTACTATGGTCAAGCACTTTACTTTCTGCCTTAAAGGTTCGCTCACGTATGTATGTATTTATATATGCACATCACATATCATGCTTGAGATGTCAACAAAGTTTTTGAAACCCCCCTAAATCAATATCCATGTTGGCAAGTAATTTCAAATAATTCTGCTCCTCCATACGAAAACATATATCTTGGCTTTTCAATGTCTTACAAAAGCATGACATTTCTTTATAAAAATAAGCTTGCTCTAGAGAGACCCACAGAGAAACCGGTTCGTCTGTTAATAAAACGTCTGTTTTTGCTTAGGCTAAATGTTGCCTGCGGACATTTACATAACATTTACTGTCTGAGCCAGGAAAGTTGTACATTTTATGCATAAGAAAGTTTCTTGTCCGCCTTCCTATGATGCAGGGTGTTTTTCGGAGCACAGAGCTGTGGGGAGCCCATGTGGTCCGCTGAGGGGGGCAGTTACAGATGCACATCCGATCCGGCCGTTATGGATTCGGCCCTATGTCCACTCCCCATTTCGGTGACCTTTTTTCTTCATCTGACTCTCCTCAGGAAACACATTGAGCTTCTCTTCTCACTCTTTCAACAATACGCAGCTCGGATTTGTTTTCAAGCTGTTGGTCACATTGCCAACACTGCGCAAATGCCGACCGTTTATTGTTTCTTACAAGATATCACATTTAGGAGGTTCTAGACATGTACCAATAATACGAGGCCAGTGATAGTCAGCATTTGAGGACACATGTTTATTGTTATTGTGTTGTGATTATTCTGTCCAATGTAGTGTGTGTTATATTCTCCTGTGTTCAAAAGTTAATTTTGTCTTTTATGCATTGATACAGGCTGCATAATTGTTGTAAAATTATGTATTTGTTTTTTTTCCTCTGCACTTAGCATTCATTTCAGCCCTATCTGTAACTAATGCAAACAGTGCTTGAGCTACAAATCCAAGTATATGGGAAATATTTGAAAGAATGACCCAGGGCTTTTCTGACAACACTGGAGCTCAACAAGAACAATAATGAAAGCCTGGTCTGGGAATCTGTGTGCTACATTGTTTTCAGCTCAGCTACTCAAAAGCCTTTCTTTAATCCTCTTACTTGAGCACGTGTCTCCACAATGGACCATATTTCATTTGGGTGTATTATTTAATTGGTTGGCCAATACTCTTAACCAAACATGCAGTTTTACTAATTTCTAAGACTGGATGTTATACTGCAGCAAACTGAAGAGAAAAAAGGTAGATTAAAAAAATCATAATTCACACTCATGCATCTGGCGTGACATGCTTTCAGACTCTAATGTAAGAAATCTTACGGCAAATCTATATTATTCCATTATAAACCTAAAATTAGCTACATCAAAAGTGTTGGGTAGTTTGCAAACCCTACAGACTATTTACAAGGTAAGAAAACTGTTACATGTAAATGCGTGTGCAGACTTGTCTTGAATTGAAAATCTCACTCCAGCCAGCTGATCAAAGTTGGCAACCTTACATGAATACACAGTAATATGTGTATATACGTGATAGTATAGCCAGGCAAATAAACTGAGTTAAGTAGCTGTGTGAAGACATCGCTGTGGCTGCAAGCTGTTCAGTGCCCTCTGTCCAGGCTTCAGTCACCGCCTTGGCTTTCCTGTACTGGAGCACTGCTGGAGATGAACTTTTCCAGGAAATCCTACTCATTTAGAATATCACACCTCACCCTCTGGAACAAGAGACTCACTGTACCATAATGATGTCCATTTTCACAATCAGGTTTTCGCTAAATGAATCATCTGCCTGGAGATGGAAGATGGGGCTTAAGTTGGTGACTGAGTCTCATTTTGAGCTGATTACACACAAATGTTTTTGTTATTGTCTTGTAAGTGTCTTATTCACATCTCAGCCACTGAGTTTCTTTGTGTACAATTTCTTTAAGGAAAAACACAAACTCTTACCATCAAATGGACAGCAAAAGCTCAGGCCGTCAGCGCTGTAGGTATAGTCAACGACAGACGGACGGTTAAACTCTCACTCTTCACAGAGAGACATTCTGTCACACTGCTTCTTTGTCCCAAAGGGATCCGGAAGGCGCATTTCACAGCAACAGGGTAACCATCATACATATGGAACCAGGCAGAGAAGGGGAAGGTACTCTCCCCCCCCCACCACCCAAAAAAACAAAAAAAGTGTGGCCAGGAAAAAGCCAAAAACCAGAGAAAATGTTTCTCAGTGGTATCCTTGTGCATCTTTGCCCGTAAATATGACACTGCTGTGAGATAGATTACATTGATATCACTGAGATTTTAAAATGAACAGCAAGTAACAAACAGCGGACACTGAAAGAACAACATACATTTCTAATACCACACTGATAAAAATGCTACTTTCAACATCCACAGGGACCTATTGAAAGTGCTGATTGAAATATATGGATTCAGAGACCCACAGTGTCCTTGTTCCAGTGTCCTAAAAAGGAACGTGTGTTTGGGAAAAATCCGGAAAAGGTAGATAAGAGGAACATCAGCATCTTCAGTGCCCTCGTCTTACATGTGTCATATAATGAGAGAAGGGAGGCATTTAGGTGAAACAAAGGCGGGTTTTATTGAAATCAAAAGAACAATAAGAGACAGGAGGGTCAGGCGGATGTGGCGGGCGGGATGTGACAACATGTTTGTTGAGAGTGAAATGTGGAATGTTCTAGTGTTTGTAGAATTAGTGGACCAGGGAACCTAGACAAGGGAATCCATCCTGCAGAGTTCAATCACAAATTTCAGGCATGTCTGCGGTTGTGAACCTTGCCCTTCGGAGACCTTGGAAAATGTCACGCAGTGAATGCATTTATTGTTTTGTCTTTTTGCAGTGGTCTCCTCTAACTCACAGGGCAGGCCTCTCATAACGTCAGATGGGTTTTCAACCTTCAGAAGTAGGCATGGGAACCTTAGCAATTGCAGCCTAGGCAGAATGATTGCTCTTAGACAGCTGCCATTTTGGGAAAATCTGAAGCCTTTGCAACATCCAAAGCTGCCTATGAGGTCCGTTCTGAGGACGTTCACAGACACTGCCACCTGCTTCTTTATCAGTCTTACATCCCAGACCACCTACTGCTATCCAAAAGGTGACATCAGCAGTTCGTTTGCAGCCTCATTAGTCATCATATATGGCACAAGAATGTGGTCTTTTTGGCAGATGATATTTATTGACCACTGGTCTGTTTTCCCGTGGTATACAGAGTAATGTTACATCCAAGGCCCCGATATTAGATGGTTAAGGTCAATGATAATGTCTCAGTAAGCTCAGCTCTGGTTCCGTTGAGAAAAGTATTCACCTAAGAAATCCTAATGAAAGAGCCAGACAGGGGACGGTGTGGCACAACAGGCTAAGCCGCTGTGGCCATAGGGCTGCTGCTTTGTTTCACGGCTTAAACTGGAAACAGGTTCAGAAAAGATGCTGGAAGTGCTCTGTGAGTCAGAGACCCGTGCGGCTAGTCTCAGGGTGAAAATGAAAACAGGGAACTGAAAAAAAAGGCAAGACCACGATTCTCAATATGCAAAGTCCTCTTTTATGATGTCACAGCAATGGAAAGTGTGTGTGTGTTTGTGTGTGTGTGTGTGCTTCACTGGGCATTTTGTGTGGAGAAACGAGAGCTGAAAATGGCCAGATTTCTCCTTAGCATTGAATCCTCACAATGTCCTGCAGAGCGCATTTTGCTGCATAAGGGATTGTTCGGTCTTAAGGTCCTGCTGCAGCACTTAGCAGTAATGCAGCAAAGCACACTGACCACAGAGCCGTGACTGCCGCCGCCCCCAGTGTGCCAGTGAAGTGGGGAGGGGGTGGAGGGGGCAGCGGCAGTGGGGTGGGGCCGCACTGTCTCCTTGGCAAGCAGCCACACACCCAGCATTGCAGCAGGATCGATTATTAGATTGAGTTGTTTCCTGGTGCCATTCCATCATCTAATGCAGTATCTTCTCTCAGGCTGAAATGGATCTAAGGAAAAAGTGAAGTCAAAACCAGGCAGAAGATGTATTCAATGCAGTAGCATGGAGGACTGTCAGAAGATAGGGCCTCATATTCCCAAAATTTTGGATATAATGGGATACACAACTCCTTGATCACGATGCACAGAACTGCGTAGAATGAGGCCCGTGACCTTGTGGTCAGAATTGTGCATCGGCCAATGGGGAACAGTAAGAAAGCGGCCACGCCCCTCTGTTATATAGTGGGACTTGGTGATTGGACCACACCCAGATGTGAGCCACCTATAAATGTGATGAAAGGGACCAGCCTCAACAGGGCAACTGCTTCAGCCAGTTGGGTTACTCTATAATCCACTATTAATTTAGCTTGCTGTTTTTACGTGATTAAAGCTGCCGGGGACACCTGTTCGACGTTATGATGAATTTTCTTTCCAGTTGCTGAACCTCTCGGGCTCTCCTCCAAATCAAAACTGCAGTTTCAAGGAGACCAAAACCAGTGCTCATCCGACTGCCAAGCCAGGAGTGTCAGGAAGGTGGAGAGATTCACTGCCCTCTGTCAGAACAGCCACTCCGCTCTGCCACTGATCGCAGTGTAATCCACATTTTAGCAGATGCTGTCAGGGTGGCTGCAGGAGCCACTGGCAGCACCGATATGGAGCCAAGCAGTGCAGACGGTGCTAGCAAAGCCCTGTGGTTTCAGCAGAGGGAGTCAACACACTGCAGAGCGCCTGAAGTGATCAGGCACTATTGATCTTACTCAGACCCACCTCACCAATGACTTCTGATGCACATGAAACACGTGGCACAATGGATGAGGGACTGGAGGACCAGGTGCATTAATCTGAACCTTCCTGACGCCACAGAGATTTCAGCAGATGTGAAGGAAGCCTTTTAATGGGCTGTCATATGTCTGTATATTGACTAGCCAAGCTTATGTCCAGCAAGGCCAGATACGGAGATTAATAACGACCATGGCTGAAACATGGGATGGACACACAAAGATTTGGACGGTAAATCACCAAGCTATTTGTCTGTGAGTAAAAGGGCATGGTTTCCCATCTGTTTCAGGACGTTGACCTTGAAGGCAGCGAACAAACGGAGTTCTGGTGCACAGTCATTCCTCCTCCCTATTCAGCGCATGAAACTGATCTTTTATTGACGTGGGAATAGGCTCTGCAGTTCTGTGACCTGTGTGGCAGACACTGCAAGCGGGTGGCTCATGACATATTTTTAGGGCTGGTACCTGAATGATTTAACGGCCTGCATCTTGGCGTTCCGCTGGAGGAGGACGCGCCCGGGCGTGTCGGCTGCCAGCTCCCCAGACACACACACAAAAAAAACGACATAAGAAAAGCGTTACACCTGCCTCAGTCACAAGGTGCTGCAATACCTCCGCATTAGTGATTAGTGCAGGAAGAGCACCAGGTCTGGCCGGCCCTGGCTCACTATGTTTTGCCCCGTTTGGGTTACACCAGTCCTAAAGTCCTGCTCTTCAATTCTGTGTTGTGTCTCATGCCCTGCCAATCAGAATGTGCCACATGCAGACCC